TATATATATACATATATATACATATATATACACACTTTTAAGCCGGGTGCTGTTCTCACTGGCAGGGACACCACAGTGATCAAGATAGACAAAGTCCTTTCTCTCTTGGAGCTCATCTTCTAGAGAGAAGAGACAACGATAAATAAATGAACCAATAAGTACAGATTCTCTGTCATGTGATGATAAGGGCTATGAAGAAACATAAAGTAGGGCAAGGGGGAGAGATACGGATGAGATGGGGGTTTGGTTGGTGTGGTATACTAAGAAATATACTTAGTCTTTGTCCCCAATTCCTGGCACAAAGCTCCTAAAACCCTTGGAATTTCTTGAGTGATATGAGTGTCTTTTGTTATTCATAGGGAACCAATCTGCACACACAGGAGTTGATGCTAAAAGAAGTGACTTAGAATGGGCCCTCTAGATCACCTCAGGATGGAAGCTGCTCACCAGAAAGACCAAGTGATGAGAAGGTTGGAATTTTCAGTTCCACCAACCGACCTCTGGGAAGGGGAAGTGAGGGGCTGCATATTAAACTCTGTAAAAATTCTTGAACAACAAGATTTGATGAGTGAACGCATTCACATGCTGGGGGCTCCACAGGGATGGAAGGTTCCACGTACCCCAGTTCCACAGGGACGGAAGCTCCCCGACCTCGCCCTAAGTACCCCTTCATCTGGTTGTTCATCTGTATCCTTTCTAACATCCTTTATAATAAATGTAAATGTAAGCAAATGTTTCTCCGGGTTCTGTGGCCACTCTAGCAAATTAATCAAACCTGTGAAGGGAGTTGTGGGAAGCTGCAATTTATAGCCACTTGGTCAGAAGCACAGGTGACAACTTGGATTGGGAATTGGCATCTGAAATGGGGGCAGTCTTGTGGGACTGAGCCCTTAACCTGTGGGGTCTGACACTATCCCCAGGTAGATAGTGTCAGAATTTAATTAAATTTGTAGGACACTCAGTCAGTGCCCGCTGAGAATTAGCAAACTGCTTGATAGTGTTGGGAAAAACACATCAGGTTTAGATAAGGTGGCTAATGAAAGCTTCTCTGATAAGGTCACATGTGAGGAGAGATCTGAAGAAACTGAGAGAGTGAACCTTGTGGTTTTCCTAGCAGAAGAAATAGCACATGCAAAGGTCCTGAGGCAGGACTGTGGTCAAGGAAGAGCAAGGAGGCCAGTATGGCTAGAGCAGGGTAAGAAAGTGGTGAGAGTAACAGAAGATAACAGATTTTGTAGCGCATAATAGGCCCTAGTGTGGGCTTCAAAGTTTATTCTGAGAGAGTTGCAAAGCTGTGCAAAGTTTTGAATGGAAGAGTGATAAGAACTGACTTGCCTTTTAGAAGGACTCCTTTGGCTGCTGCGTGCAGAAAGCTATCTCCAGAACCTAGCATTTCCCACCATAAGTAGTGAGAAAGCTGATGGCCCAGTGGGGAAGACAGGCCATGGGTAACTAGAAAGAGAAGTGCAGGCTGATTTGGAAATCTGTTAACAGGAAGGTCTGAGCTAGTCTGAGGATCCAACGGGAGGTTTCCTGGAGGAAGTGATTTTCAGCCGAGACTTAAGGGGTACGTAGGAGTACAGGAGATAAAGAAGGGAGGGGAAGACCTTTCCGGGGAAGGGGATTACACATATAAAGACCCCAGGCATGAAACTGCTGGACTCACTGGGGGAACTGCGAGAAGACCGGTAAGGCTGAAGCACAGTAAGCCAGGGACCAGAG